GAAAATTCAGAACATTGTATTGAATTACGACAGTGGTAGTTTTGCAGAGTAGTTGGAAATGGCTTGACTGAATGTTATCACACTTGATGCACTTCTGTGATGTTTGCTCATCTTTCAGTGCGTGGACCGTGTACATTTTTTATGTCCACCCTGTAAATAAATAAATAAATAGGCGAGGCATCCCATAAAGACCCATGATATAGGGGAAACGCAGTCTCACAGACAGCCACTGGTCCTACCCCTGTGACTTAGCTTATTCTAACACTCTAGAATGCCATTTCTTTCCCTGAAAAACTGAGATAAGAAGGTGTGGCATGCGTATTAGCAAGGACTATGCACGCTGTGTTTACCTCTGCTTTACCTGTTACTCTTGCTATTCCTTTCTTTCCTATTACTATCAAACCCTCTGCTCTTTGCCAGTGCCAAGAAGCATGTGAATTGTATGTACAGAATATTTTAAATTCAGATTTTTCAATGTGCTTCTTTATCAGCTGGTGGTAAATAACAAAGTATGTGTCTGCCTTTAAGAATGATTCTGCATTAAAGGTGCAATAGCTCTGTAATTGTTTTCTTAATGTAACAAGGGATGTAGGAGATGTTACTAATCTTTTCATTTGCACTTTTGGTAAATGCATTTCAGTTGTTTTCTCTTTCCGTAACCCTTCTGACTTTAAGAGGTAACCTTCATTTTAATAATGGATAAAAATCAATGCAGAAAGTGCTGTTGAAACTGTTTAAAAGTATAATCATGAGCCTCTAAGTTATTTTTGGATGGTGATAGAGATTCTTCACTGAAAAATCTGTCCTCTTGCATATTTAATATTTAAGTGACCAATCGAAAACAAATTTTAAAACAAAATTGAAAATTTCATGATGTGAGGTGACTTGGAATATAAACATTTGTTTTCCTCTGTGAAACTGAAATTTAAATTGAGGAATGCATGGAATTATTTTGTATTAAAAGAAACGCCTTGCCACCACTTTCTCAATACACGCTTGACTCAAAAAAGCCTCCTTCTGTGAATTCCACTTTCTATAATACTTCAGTATGAAAACCATAAAATAAACAAAACACATGAATGTCACTCTTGCAAGATATCCAGGAGAAATGTGATAAATGAAAGTTAACGTCTACACCACACAGAGCCTCAACAGCTCAAAGCACCAAACAAATGGCTAAATTCAGTAACTGATTGCTTTTGTGTCTGTTTCTGTGCTGAGGATTGAAGGCAAGGCCTTACGTATGCTAAACAAATGCTCTGCCACTGAACTGTGCCCCAGCCTTTAGCGTGATAGTTTTGAAAACATTTATTGAAATGCCAGTATTGCAAGGGAAAGATAAGATCAGTCATTTTACCTGAGAGGAAGATGATCTGGAGTCTTCACGCTGGAAATGTCACTTGCGTATTCCCACTCACCACGTGCTGGTGACAGGTGTGAAATAACACCAGATTGTGAGATGGTAAAAGTTTTCTCTATGACTTTTCAGCAAGTGTCTCAGCCCTAGGAGGGACACCCACATCTTGATGCTGTCCTGAGGCTCCCTAGAGCTCGCTGCTGAGGACTTGAGCCCCCATTTTTGAAAGTGAAGTTCTATGCATTGTTACATTGGTGGTTATTCATTCCAGCAATGCTAAATTGTCATTTTATCCATTTTTAGATGAAAAATGAAACCACAGAGAAATTTATGAGCTCATGAGTAATCATAAAAAAGCAGAGCAGAATCTTCATCCTTATGAGATTGCAGTGCATCTGGACATAGACAATAAACCCATAGCCACCAAGTGTATGTTAAGCATTCGGAGGGGCTAAAGTTCCAGAGAAAGGAGAAGAGGACTCAAAGTGACTTTGGTGCTACAGAAGCCTTAGGGCTCATCCTTACCAGGGGGTGCAGACTCTGGGCTCAGGGTCAGTTGGAGAAAGGCAAGGAGAGCAGATGCAAGCACTAGGAACATGGTGGCTAAGGAAAGAGTGCAGTGAAGGTCTCCAGTGCACAGGGAGACTGCAGAGAGAGAGAGAGAGAGAGAGAGAGAGAGAGAGAGAGAGAGAGAGAGAGAGAGAGTTCACATGGTGGCTGAAGCAGAGTGCATGGCAGGTGCGGGAAAGATCAGTCTGAGATCAGAGGGAACTCGGGGCTGCTGGAGTAATCCTGGGTCCATGAGGAATTGGAAATTGTGTTTGAATGAATGACAACTCCCTGGGGCCATTTCTACAGAAAAAAGGACACCAGCCAAGTTTTAAAAGATAAGTGATTATGTGTGACACTGAAATACTGAACACACATCGCCATGCATTTGCTTAAATCCACAGCATATGCCACATCAGAGAGAGCTTAATATAAGTCACAGACTCTGGTTGACAGTGACAGACATAGGACTGTGGCGCTGGGTGTTGGTAGAGGGGAGGCTGCGCATGGGGACAGGGACTCAGGACCACCTTGTCATTCCCACTTAGCTTTACTGTAAACGTGAAACTGCTTTTAAGTACGAAGCCCAATTAAGGCAAATGACAATCAGCAGCTTTTCTGATATTTGTCCAGAAGGTGCAAATGCAGCTCCCAAGGGACAAGCTGGATTCCAATCATTGTCCTTTCATAAATAGCAACTGTGTGCGTGCATGTGTGTGCGTGTGTGCATGTGTGTGTGCGTGTGTGCGTGTGTGTGTGTGTGTGTGTGTGTGTGTGTGTGTGTGGTTAAGAAGCATCAAGCTCTGAATATTTTGAAAGAACAACTGACTGTATGCATGCTTAATGGGCCTCAGGAGTGTATAGAGAAAATGAAATAGCAAAAATGACTTGAATATTTTCGGCCTGAGAGATATAAAGACTTGTGATGCCAGGTTCCCAGACCGAGAGTAGAGCAGGATTTGTTTCAGGGGGAAGATGAAGAGGGGAGCTGGCAACTTCCCTGAAAAAGGGGATGCACTCGAGAAGTTAAGGGGCTGCTCCTCAGATCACAGAGGTGTGCAGATGGTAGAATTGAGGCCTGGACCTGAGCATCTGAACTCAGACTTCAACTCTGACAGGAGGGTTTGTGTCTTAGCCACTTTTCAGCAGCCCTCAGGGAGAGCTTGCACATACAACAGACACACAGTAAGCGCTGAAGGCCTGGGAGCAGAGCACTCCACAAGGCTGACGCGTGGTGATTTCATTTCCCATCCTTGGCCTGACATGATGCAGGACATCTTGGAGGAACTCAGAGATATGAGGAGCTATTGGGTGTTTCACTCACAGTTTTAAAACTGATACAGAAATCCTCAGACATGAAAAGGTTGAGCAAGGTACTGAAGACGGGTACAGTAAATTTCCTTTCCCACGGCAAAAACTAGACAAGTGATGGATGTTATTTTTTGCATGAACTTAGGGATGTGAGAACGTGTTTCTCGTGAGAGGGAATTAGAATGTACATCAAACACAAAACTGAACTCAGACTCTACATATTTTGTCAATAAGTTAAAATTTGGGGTGAGTTATAAATGTTTTACAGTCAGAGAAAGAGCAATTTATAAGAAAAAATGTAACTTCTAAGAAATACATCCATGTCACAGGGGATTGTGATGTGGTCCTATAATCCAGCTACTCCTGTTAGCCCAGATACTCCTGTAATCTCAGCTACTTCTATAATCCCAGCTACTCTGGAAGATGAGACAAGAGGTTTACATGCTAGAAGCCAGTCTGAATGAATTCGTGAGTCTCAAAGTAAATTAAAAAGAGCTGGGGTTGACACTTTTTGGTAGAAATTCCCTGGATTTGAACCCTGGAGAGAGGCAGGGGGTGAGGAGAGATCAGTGCAGACTCTAGAACTAAGAAAAGTGTTTTCCACAACAAAAGTTACTCTCTTTTATACAAAGACAGAAAATATTGATAAACAAAAGCACCATTTAAGACAAAGCATGTCACACAACAGTCTTAAAAGTGGTAAATATCACATGCCTTGACCTCCTAGCGCAGTGGTGGCGAACCTATCACATGTGTTTCATAGTTACGTGTGTGTTAACACTGAAAACTCTGGAAGGTTCACCATCACTGTCCCAGTGGATGGCAAAGTGGCTTCTCTAGATGAAGACTCACAGATTGCATGAAGACTCATATTGAAACCCATAGTGGGGTCCTGCAGTCTAGCAACAGTGATTCCGAATCCCTCTGGATAGTCCAGCCCCTGGGACCCTCCTGCTGAAACACGAGCCAGGACACTGGAAGCAGAGCAAGGAGCTCGAAGCTGAGTCCAGAGTCCCAAGGAGCATGTACACTCAGCTGGGCTTTAGGAAGGGACCTTTGGGACTCCTCTACAATGGTGTCACAGCAGAAGTTTGTATTATGTGGGGGGCCAGATTGAATGCATTGCTCAAAGTGGGAATCAGCACAATTCGAAGAGAAAAAATGCAATGGGCAGGTTATTGTCAAAAGTTTAATATCAACAATAATCAAAGAAAGACAAACCTAAGACCCCATTCAATCATCCAATGCAGAATTTTTAAATATCTGTGACATGCAGGTACCAGGATTACAGCAGTGAATTGACTCAACAAAAATCTCCACCTTCACAAAGCCCACATTTTTGAAGACGATGAAAATTATAAGAAATAAATAGTAATCATTTAATGTGTTCTTTTATATTTTGTATTAGATGAAATAGTAAAAGTGGAAGAAAGGCAAATGTCTGGGGAAAAGAATCACTGGGCATGCCAGGCATAGCAATACTAAATTAGGCCAAAGAACAGACTTTCAGGAAAAGGAGAGGTATGCAAGCAGACCTGAAATTGCACTCTATTCTAAATATAAATTCAACAACCCCTGAGCTCTGACTGTGACTGGGAGATTACAGTCCTCTGAGTACTGTGTTGTGGTTTCCTCATTTGCAAATTATGGTTCAAAATATTTCCAGTCTCTTCTGACTGTTGACAGGAACAAGTAAGATAATAACAAAAAGTGATTCTACCTTGTCTCATATGCAGCAAGAACAAGTTTACACTGATTTTTTTTTTTTTTTTTTTTTTTTTAGAAAACCACTGCAGATTGTTTCATGATGGTGAAGACCACTCAGTGCCTTTGTGAAGATGGAACCCAATAGACACAGTTCAGAACAAATTCGACTTAGGCTACCTTCAGTTCAGAACAACTAGAATTCTACACTCTGTAATGAAGAACTCTGCAAATACTTTGTGGTCTTCAGTGCTGCTTCATGTAGAGGTCCATGTACCCGGCACCTCCAGCTCTTGTTCAGGCTATGTATTTGTAGAGATACCTCAAAGGTACGCAAGCAAAGTTTTTGGGCATTCAGGAACATCTTGAAAGAGGATGGAACCTGGCAGCAAATGTCCCACCAGGAGGGGCAGAGCGAGTACTCAGGCAGTCTTGGCACACCTGACAGCCAAAGCAGCTATTTCCTTTTTCATGCAGCTGAGTTTTCTCCATTGCTTATTCGATCGTCTCTAGTGTTGCTTTCTGAAAATCTGTAAGAGGAGGTAGACCTTTAGTCCAGATATCTTATTGTGCTGAGTATCCTAGCTCTAATCTAGTTCCTCCTTTCCTCACTGCTGCTGACAACAAAACGGAAAAGTCTCCAGCTGCTTCTAAATTCTTTTCAAAGAACACAAACAGTGTAGCTGCCCAGTACTCTAAGCAGCATGAGAAAGACAAATGAAATGGTTGGCATGTCTCTCACAACGACATAGTACACAGAGAACACAGAGCAGCACAATAATAAGTACTGAGCTATCAGTTGGAATACTTGCAACAGAAATCCAGACCTAAGTAGAAAAACAAAACCTTCATAGATACCTAGCAAGAAATTGGAGGAAAGGTAGCAATGGAAAGTGCTTAGTTAGAGATTCTCAGCTGTACCGAGAATGTGGGATTTCTCCATTGTTCCTATTTGCCATTTATCACTAAAATGTTGACTTCTGTGGCTTATAGGACAGCGGTCACCTGGCACGAAAACATGACAGTACTTGTACTATGCATTTCAAGAGCAGTAATTCCCAGCCATACATGGCAGTTCATGCCTAAATTAGTTAAGGCTAAATCAACTCGAAATTCACATGTACAGGGCCACCAGTCACATTTTAAAGCAGAGATGCATACATCACTGGTGGCTGTCATACCACACACAGCACAGGCCGAGAGAGATCTTTGACTTTCCACAGAGCATTATTGTGGAACATTAAATTTTAGCAAAAAGGATGAAAGTCTTCCTATGTTGCTTTCTTAAGAGACAAGACGTTTTCCCCAAACTCTCATAGCAGACCTGTCTTTATAGATCTCTGAGTAGAGCTGATTTTTATGGATTTTTGGATCAAGATCCTGAAAAGGGAAAGATTGTTGGGCCTATCAATCTGGCACAGATGTCTGTGTGGCGTTGGTGTCTCAGCCACTCATGGAGCAAGCTACACTGTACGACTGTGTTCAATAAAACTTCATTGATATAAAGCGGCAGAGGGCCAGTCTGGGCCCTCCTGCTGTAGATTGTACACCTCTATTTTAACGTGTAAGACTGAAGTCTGTAGTAGGACTTCTTTGGTTTGTGTTTTAAGGATTGGTTAAACACGTCTTTCTCACCTTCATTTCTGTCTTGTGATTCATGTTTAGTCAGGATTTGAGGCTAAAATTTTCAAGGAGCAAGCCAAGGAAGGTTTGAACAGATTACAATCCTTTATTATACCATTCATTAGACCCAGAAAAGATACTCTATCAAATGGATTTCTCATTAAGAATAAAAAATACGCTAAATGCGATTTGAAAAATAAACACATATAAGTTATTACCTGCAGTGACTCTGAATAATGGCTATTAGGAAGAAATGGGTACAGTTAGCAATTGGTAGAAAGATGCTGGCAGCGTCGGATGACAGAGCCTACTACTGACAACTGTGCTCAAGAATCCTCTAGGGGCCATCCCTATGTCTGAGTACCAGAGCAGTGCTGATTCCTGAGGAAGGGATCAGGCTCCAAGCCACACCTCGCTGGTGATGAGGGCACTGACCACTTCCCTGAACTGAAACTCCGGTTGGCATCCAAGATTCCCAAGTGATGTTGTCTGGGTTACTTTTCTCTTGTTCATGAGACAAAATACCTGACACCCAAAATGAAGGAAGGAGAGGTTTATTTAGCTCATTGTTTGTGGAGGCTTCAGTCCACAATCAGCTGGCTCCAAGGCAGGGTACCATGGCACCAGGGGCAATGCTTCAAGGCAGCAGCCAGAGCAAAAGCAGCGAGAATAAAAGGGGAAGAGCAAGCCTCTTCTCCTCCTTTGTATTGTACACAGTCCGTCCCGTCCCATCCCAGGGCCAGCATAGCACTCACAAAATCTCTGTACTCTCCTGTTGCCAGGGAAGAGGATATCTATTGGCTCCCTGCTGAGCCTCTTAACTTCTAAACTTCTTAAACTTCCAAACTTCTCAAACTGACACAGTGTCTCAATCATAACAGACGGCAAAGTAGCTGTATTACCAAAGAAAGGAGTACTCAGCGGAGGGCATCTCCAGCTCCCTTTCAGGCTCTGTTTTTGTGGAAGAACTTCACAGGTGGGCGAGAAAACTTTGGTGCATTCCTGAATGTGCTGAAAGAGGATGCAATCTGGCAGCAGGCGCCGCAGCAGGAGGGGCAGAGTGTGCCTCAGACAGTCCTGGCACACTTGGCAGCCATAGTGACTGTTTCCTTTTTCATGTTCAGTAGGAAAACAAAGCACACCGTATCTATGCCATATTAAGCTGCCCATTGTGACATGATGTATAATATAGCTCACCTTTTCTGCGGGGCAGAACGTGAACATCATGTTGCTTTTCCAGAATATTTATAGACTTCCTGAAAATGAATAATTGTTTTCCAAAATTATATTCTTAGCAGTCGTGTCTGTCTCCACTGCTCTTGGAAATGTTATGCTGAAAATAACTGTGGACTCTTCGTGGAGGAGTCAATGAACCTCCATCGGCGGCTGGTGTTTTCCTTCCAGAATGCGCCCCTCTCTAAAGAAATGTTTTTAGAAAGAAGTAATTTCAGCTTCATGTGAACTGATAGTTTTACAAGGTACACATCACAGTTTGTTTTCTATGAGTTTGGCCCATTCAAGGATAGGAAAAAACTCTTGAGGTAATCTTTCAAAGACTGGTAGGAGATATGCGTGAGAAGAGTCTAAGAAAATGAACCTGGGGACTGAAACTAATGGATTATCTACGTATCCAAGTTCAGATTTCCTAGGTGGATTTACGAGGATGGATCTATCTAGAGAAATAAAGTCCAGTGCTCTTTCTTTGTCTGCTAGGAAATGGCATTATCAATAGATTTTATTCTATAAGAGGCACACACTGCTTTACCTGGAGTAATAGAGACAGTATGAATAGCCAGAAATGATGTAAATTCCATTTATGTATTTATGAAGTATATTGATGCTGTCAGTCCTTATTTATTTTGCTGTGCCACAAAGTCTAGACAGAATAATAGTACATTCTTTGTAAAGGCATGCATTTTAACAATCATTGAGTATGCTGGAATGCCAATCCCTGTGTCTCATTCATGAATTTTTTACAGTTGACTTTGCATTCCTTATAGAGAAAGAAATAATTAGCAACACTTTTTCTCTTTCTGGTGCAGCTAGAATTTTACTTTTTGTATTAACAAGCTACCTTTAATGGAGCTGTGTCTTCAATTTCTCTTCTTTTGCTTCTTCACATTCTAATTTATCATGCAAGTGTTAATAATTTCTAATATTTTCTAAGGATGTTTCTTGGTGATACAGGTTGTGTCAGTGTAAAAACATGCATTTTCACATCCTAATTCACAGCAGACCCTCATCTAGCTGCTGTATAAAACCACACCTCTCACCCCAATGTGTCCATTAGCTCAAATTCAGCCTGAGTTTTTGAAAATGTAAAAGCCTCAGATTAAAAAATAAAAAAGCACCCTAAGTGTCAGGGAAAATAGAAATAACGCTTGACAAATCCGAGAGAACCACTGACGGAGAATGAGGAACCTATTAAATCTTCAAAGGTCCGGTTTTCTTCAGCCTGTTTGCTCTGCTGTAGGCAACCTGAAATATTCCACATTAATCATGCATTAAGTTCCTGTTGGCCCCTTGCCTCCTTCATCCGTTTCCCCCCTAAAATACGCGTAGCATCTGTTATTGCTATCCCTGGAGCTGACGCAGTGCCCACTACCTTTCCAAAGAGCATACATGGAAATTGTGGGTTCTGTGGTAGTATAAACGTGTTTATTTTCCTCTTGCCTTACCCTTGGTCTTGTCCGCAGGAAATTGTGTTTTTTTACATGGCAGCCATCCATTTATACTGAGGTGCTTTGTGCAAACTTCTCTGTCTTCTGGCTGATGTTCTTATTTTCTTCATGGTCCATTCATCTGCACTGATATTATTCTGCATGATAAGAGGTTATCTACCAAATAGCAGTTGTCTTGCTGTATGATGGAGGCTGTGCCACATAGATGATCTATATCTTAACTCTGCTAGGGAAAAGGCTCAGTGAATGTCCATTAAATGCAATTACTTTAAGATTTGCTTATTCAGATATATACATGAATGTGAGCTTTCCATGGGCAAGGCAGAGGAATAACCCTCCATAAGCAGGCTCTACGTGTCTCTGGAAAAGTTTCTCTCCAGGCAGAATGATTTGACAAATATCTGCCCTTTACTACCTTCTGTGTTTGATATTTAAATATGTCCACATTCTCACTTCTCACACAGTGTAGATCTATATATCACCGTCTTCCTGGGAGCTGAGAGAAAGATACCATCTTCATGGTAGCTGAAGGACACCACCTTCCAGTTAATGGTGGTCATCCTTGTTATAGTACAGTATGATTTTGTACCTTTAAGTACTACTTTGAAATATAGACTCCAAAATTCACCCAGAGCAGACTGATTGTTTCTTGAAAGCAAATTTGCTTTGAAAAGTGTGTCTTTCTCTGGTAGCACACAGATGGGTTATGTCCTGCATAAGGCAGCCTGGGTGGGTGAACAGGGGAAATTAATTACCACTTTGATGTAATTTTTGAAACATACTTAAGAACCTGATGAAATTCTTTATAAAACTCAGAAAACTTAACTCAGTGTGATTTCTGTTGTGCTGTTGTGTCATACTGTTATAGTACAGTATAGTACTGTATAGTACTCTTAGAATCATCTTGGACACAATAAGTGTGGCAGACTGATGTCACCACTGCATTAATCAGTTCACAGGCAGAATCAACCAAATTGTCTATTATCAACGTTAAGTGACACTCAGGCCTGATCATGCTAGTCTTTATCCTTGAAGAATTCCATCTCATTCTACAGTCAGTGGAACCAGGAGTCTGTAAGTGACATGCTCTTCCTGGGGTCGTTTGCTGGGTCAGGCATACCATTCTGGGTAGTTGATCAACTATATATGAAGAAGAAGATTCTTACCTGTAATGTTAAATAGAAATTGAAAATGTGATAAATGGAATTACTTTTTCTCATGCGTGTGTGCATGTGTGTGTGTGTGAGTGTGTGTTATAAATGTCTGACAAGAACTAGGAAAGTTTTCTACTTTGGAATGGACACAGCGCACTTCTATAGATCCTACAGGCTGCACTACATTTTCAGATGTAAGACCGAGGCAGTCACCTTGTAACATGTTAAAGTTGGGAACATCAGGGCTGTCCTTGAGTCCTCTCTCTCATCCTGCACTACTAAAGAAATTTAGAGAGTACCTAAGTAATTTTTTCATGCCTAATTGTGTTTAAAATGGGTTTAATATTTGACTTGATCAAAATCAGACCTAATCAACTAAATCATCTTAGGGATTATGAGAACCTCAAAGTAGATGCCGGAGTTGTCATGAATAGGACCATGGGTAGAAAACTGCCCTACCGTCCAATCCATGCAAGTGACACGTATCTTTGAGTTTATTATTGAACTCTTGCTATTGTTTCTGTTTCTTCATTCATCTGATAGTTGTAAGGACTACACAAATTCTAGAGCACTTAAAGCAATGCTTCATAACAAAGACTACTCAGCCTAATAATCTAGATAAAATCATCTCCAAGGAAAATTTCTCCTTCTCCCATCAATTCAATATTGTTCTAACATTTCTTTTTGGAAGCTAATGTATTAAGTGATGTAGAAACAGAAATATATGCAAAGAGAAAAGTATGGGGGGAAAATCCTGTGACCTTGCAGTTTAGCTACAATCAGATTGATAGACACAATCCTCTGTCGGAGGGACAAGATAAACTTTTGCTGGTGTCATCTGCCAGAGGGTCACTCATGGTGGGCTACTTGAGCTTCCCAGTTTTAATATACTGAGCTGAGTAGGGGGACCCAGACATTTCATAGTGCACCTGGCAGGGTTTTCCCAGGAGGACAATTCAGAGGGAGCCTTTGAAAAGAGAAATCAAACCTATTGTTGGGATTCTTCAAAATCCTGGAGTATGATTATCTGAGTAGAGGTCTTGCCTCTCGAGGTAACAAGACTGTACATCTGTTTTTGTATATTTTACTTGATACACTTCTATTCTCCACCATTCATAGCTCAAAATGATTTTTCTTGGAAAGGAGACAGAAGCACAACAGAAATCACACTGAGTTAAAGTT